CCCCAAAACCCCAAAACCCCATGCATGAAGATTACTTCTATATTTAGCGATTTCTAGTAAATGTTAATCAAATTTGATAAGGGGCTATTGATTCAATCTTTAATTTTAATTTGGAAATTACAAATAATATTTAAACATGAATAGAGAAGGTGAAAATTTCTTCGACAAAAATCGACTTAACCAGATATAAAATAGGAATTAATTGATTCCAGAACCTAATGAAATGATAAATTCACCCAATCTATCGAGAATCAATGATCTAGGAAGTAATATGGGAGTATCTACAATGTAACATATGTCTGATACAAACATGGACAATACATTAATTTGTTTGGAATGTTTAGACCAGTTTGACGATAGTTTCAAACTACCCTACAGATTACCTTGTGGCCACAATAGTAAATATTAGCTTGATTAAATAGATTTTAGTCTGCGGAAAATGCCTAGATAAATTTTGATCTTCTCAATCTAATGTTACTTGCAAGCATGACAACACGCTATATACTGATTAATCAAACTTTAAAGTGAATTAAGGGCTATTGGATATTATAAGGCAAGATTAAGAATTAGTACTTTAAAAAAGTATTATCATAGAGGACCATTATGATGATGATTTTGATTAAGGCCAAATTAAGTCTAAATAATAATTTTAGAAAGATAGCCCAAAACAGATATTAAATAAGTAAGTTACACAATTTAAATCTATGACTACCCTCAGAAAAGACATTCCACATCAGCCAAATTAATAAACTCACTAGGCTAGCAACTTTAGTAGATAGGAATCTTAGTTAAAAAATATCGGTGGTATATTTTCAAGGACTAACCTCAAAGCATTTTAGCCGATCTAGTCAATTGATCTTTAATCTGCTATTTCTCAAAGTTACGATTTTGACAAGCAATCTTAATCTTCACGCTAGCAGATATCATCCGCAAGATCATTTGTCAAAGAAAAAGATGTTAAAATGAATATAAATGTAAATCCACCTCCAAAAGAAGCTAGTTATTTAGTATATAAAGAACCTGATAATGATTTATTAATTCCTGGCTCTGAGTTAAGGGTACCTGATACTTCAAGAATAACGGCTTAATCAAATTATAATGAAATACTTGAAAACGATGATGATTCTAATGGCTCAAATAAATAGTCATATAGGAAAATGATGTAGTCTGTCTAATATAAAGTTGAAATATTACCAGAAGTAGATATTGAGGCTGATCTTTTAATGGGTAATAAAGATCAGTATGATGAGTAGAATTTATACTTGCCAAAATAAATAACTAGTGATTCAGCTTCATTGGCCTAAGCTCTAAAAGAATCTTAGAAAAATTCAATATAGGAAAGTAATAAAGAGTAAAAATAAGAATAGCAGTAAAATCAAAGAAGGAAATCTGTATTAAATACTCCATATGGTTCTATTGGTTTTGATAATATCGACTAGATCTAATAAGATGTTCAACAAATTATGAGCAATGATTTTGCGAATTTGAATTCTAAGAAAGTCTCATAGCATAAAACTATGCAGATTAGTGAAAAAACTTCTTAAGATTTACAGTAATCAATGCAAGATAATCAAGTAGACAAGTAAATAGAATAATTAAATACAGATGAAGACTATCCTGAAAACCAAGATGATGATGGGGAACTTTCAACGATGGACTACACTATGGTGGGAGGAAAAAAGAAAAAAAAGAAGAAGAAGAAGAAAAAGAAAGTTGGAGCAGAAAAAGAAGAAATCATTTAAGAACCAGTTACGTAATTTACTGAATTCGAAAGTAAACCTACACTGACCAACCCAGGTGAAATACTTTAAGTTATTGATGAAAAGTATGATGAAGAATAGGTTTGAAGTCCAACATTGACTTAGCATTCTCATAAGCAATCTTCCTAAGACAATCAAAATAGGTATGATAATCAGTAAGAGGATGATTTTAAAATTGAGGAAAGGAGGCAAATTGATAGAGATTAAATTCCTAAACTTAATCTCTTACCTCATGCTTCTGATAATGTACAGATTTAGGCTTATTCTAGAGAGTCTAGTTTTAAATACTCACAATAGAAATCACTGGGAAATCCAAACTACATGAGAGTAGACTCTAATTTTGCAGCACCATAATCAGATGCCTTTAAAGGTACAGGTCTCTCAGTCATAAATACTAATCCCCTTTTATAGTAGCTTAGTACTATCTATTTGAATTCTACAAATAACGCTTCTTCAATGAGATTTGATGATGAAGTGATTAATCTAGTCCCTTAAATGAATTAAACTCATCAATCTCCATCTTTTCATTCAGATAAAGATTATGCAATGATTGAATCGAAAAATGATGATGATAATGCTTCAATGCTTAGCTAATAATCCTCTCCAAAAAATCAATAACTAAATCAGAATAGACGTGCTTAACAAATTGGTGGATTTATGCCTAATCCTTCAATTATTAGTTCATTTAATCCAGGCAATATTTCATCATATCCTAATTACTAAGGACATTTGAATATGCCTATCGGCTCTCATATAAAAATTGTATCAAATGATCAAACAATGACTAGAATTTCAAACGAAACTTTTCATAACTCTACTCGAAATGATAAATTACCCAATAGCTAATCTAATTACAATAGCTATCAAATAGAAAACTATGCTTAATAAGATAACGTCGATGCGATGAGGCAGAGTATATCTTTTCTTAATATGATATGTGAAATACATCCAGAGGAGAAAATAAAGTACTTTTGTAGAGATGATAAAGTGGCATTATGTCCAGAGTGTGTTGTCGATCATGCAAAGCATGATTTTGTGTTTGCTGATGAAAATGCTGCTGTAGAAGTACGGTAGCAGCTTGAACTTTTAAAAACTAATATTAATTCAAAATCTAATTAATACAAGCTAGTAATGTAGGAAACTTAAGATAAATTAGAGGAAATAGTGAAAATAAAAGAAACAGAATTTAAAAGAATTAACACAATTTTCAAAGAGCTACATAAAGCTTTAGATACAAGAGAGCAATAAATCATGGATGAATATAGTAATAAAACTAAATATAGTGAAACTACTCTAAAAAAAGACATGGATAAAATCTAAGAAATTCTTGTAAAGATAGATAGTATTTAAGTTGAAGTCAACAAATTCTATTAAAAATTAGGTAATAATATCCTATATTAACTTAAAATTTAGAAAACGCATAAACATAAGTTGTAGTTAAGCAAAGTCCAAAGATTTAATAACTATTAGACAATTTTAATAGTTTCTATGTAAACTATATCTAAAAAGAATATATGATTAGCAAATTTACTGTCAGAATTTAAGACACTCCTATTTAGCCTCCGTTCTTAATTAATCTTTGTAATATATTGATTTACCAAATTACCTCTTCAATATAGCTTAGAGTAAAAAGATTATTGAGAGTTTCGGATCATTTAATATCTAATAAACAGCTTCTTACAGTGCCTCTAATAGTACTGATATTAAGCAAATTATAAATTAAGCAAGTATACAAGCATAATAAACTAAAACTATGAAGCCAGAAAACCTTAATAATATTTCTTAATCTAATGCAGCTGATCTCTTGAATAAGTCAATAATAAGTGTGAAATCATAGCAAATTATAAAAAGCTCATTGCCTTTATAACACTTGAATCATCGAAGTAGAATGGATCAAGATCGATCATTTTTTGATTAAACTCAACTTATCTCAACTTAGTATCAGTAAATAGTAAATATAAATAATGTGTACTGGCCTAGATGGGACACTTTTTAACTTTATAAATTCGATGTCAAAGCTAAAAACTGGGTGGGTTAGAGAAATGTTAAACCCTCCTCTAAATTTTTATTCTTTTCTTCAATTGCTCATTTACCTAACTTAGAAGGAATGTTCATTTTGGGAGGGAGTGATACTGATGATAATTACTCTAAAAGAGCAACATATTTTAAAAATTATCAAAGGTTTTATGAAAAGCCACCAATGATACATAAGAGGGCATTTTTTCCTTCTATTTACTGTCTTTATGATAGCAATTTATATGTCTTAGGAGGGCATGATGGAATCAACGATCTTAATGCTTGTGAAAAATATGATTTTTAAACGAATTCCTGGCGAGAAATACAAAGTTTCATTACATAAAGAAATGGTGCATCAGCTTGCTGCTTTGACCAGCAAATATTCTTATTCGGTGGAAACAATTTCGATATTGGCTCTCTTGATTCCATAGAAAAATACTAGATAGATATAGATAGATGGGTATAGATTAGTATAAAATTGGTAGAGCCGATTCATGATGCAGTTGCTCTAAATATGGGAGGATAAAGAGTACTTATATTGGGAGGTTCTGCTGATGGACACTTCAACAGCAGGTTCCACATATACGATTTATCTACAGAAGTTAAAACTTACGAGCTCTAACCGAAAGCATAATCGAGAATCTACCTTCCTCCTGTGATTGACTTCAATCTAAATTCTTCAAATTTATCTAACTCAAATAGACCTCCAGCCACTCTGCATATATTTCAGGGATATGGAGATTCAAACTTTGAATATTAAAATGTGCAAGTTGGATCCCTAATCTGTAGATGCAATGAGAATTATTAGAGTACTGTTCCGAATAAGATGTATAATAATTTAGTTCAATCGACAGGCCACCAGTCACCATCTGGTCTATCACAATAATCTTCAATTATAGGCAAAAAGGTACCTCCATAGACATCAACATAGAAGAGTGGATTTTCGCCAGTTTAAAATCATAGCATTAGACAGAAGAATTTATCAATTCACAGTTAACTTAAGAATGCACCTCCAGAAAGAAGCTTTTCTCAAAATTCAGCTGGAAGTAGAAGAAATGTTAGCATTACCAAGCAATAGAGTATAAAGAATTCTGCTCCAGTACAAATCGTCCAGGATGCCAAAAAATCAATGGCAGATGAAGCAAAACAAGTCTTACTGAGGAAAAAATTCTCCAAGCTTATTATGGGAAATCTTTCAAAGACAAAAAATCTTTTGGAAAACTTTAGAGAGAATGATCCAATAGAGCAAGTCGAAAATAATCCCTTAAGTTCTAGAAGAGTCAAGATCTAAAATAATAATGTATCGTATGTAGCTGGAGGACAGGTTAATATAAAGACACCATAACAAAAGAAAAATTGAGATTAATTTGGCTAGAATTTCTAACAAAAAATGAAGGAGAAGGATAATCTTTACCAAATATTGAAATATTTTTACCATATCGATAAATTAATTTCCATTAATGCAATATCATTATTGCGATTTCGATGGGGTTTTGGGGTTTTGGGGTTTTGGGG